AACCCAGCCATGCACATCTGCCTCTTGCAGCAGGGCAGCATTTTTCAACCTCTCCTTCCTGCCTGGTTTCTGAGGAAACGAAACCTGAAGTGCCTACAGCAGCAGAGACCTCAGCTCAGAACCCTCTGCCACCTTCAAGCTGCTTCTTCACCAAGAACACACTGAACACAAAACCAAATGCAATGCAAGTTCCCACTGCTAATTGTGCAAGCTGATGTTTACTTTTCAGGCTAGTAAAAAGCATGAAACATTTCTTTAAGTAGCTTCAAATCCAAGCCTCAGTTGTTTCCAGGCAAGACGCTTACACTCCTTGGTGAGATTAGCCTGTGCTTGAACACGAGCCTGACAGAACAGGCTGGATGCAGTTTAACTCATTTATTACAGAAAATATCAAGGACCAGCACTGGAAAAGAAATCCTCTGCTCATTAAACAGAGACTGCTTACATTTCTGCAAGCTTTTTCCCAATTTTTATGCAGTCTTCCCTCTGGAAACCTTCCACACCCACCTGGACACATCCCTGTGTATCCTGCTCCAGGTGACCCTGCCTTGGAGAGGGATTTGACTAGATGATCTCCAGAGGTTCCTTCCAACCCCAACAATTCTGTCATTCTGTAATTATCTTCATTATTTACTTTCTTACCTATTACAGATCCTGGAGTATCCAAATATACCAGAAAGTGTAAACTGGAGTCCCTGATAGTGTGATAGCAGGGGAGAAGAATCAGGGCACAGTTCAATATCATTTTTGACCTTGTCTGTGGAGAAAATATGGGCTTTAAAATATCTAAACCAGACAAAGAAAACCAGGATAATCATATCTTTCACTGTTACAAAGATGCTGGGTTTGCCAGGTTAGCCTGTAGCAGCCTCTTGCAGATGCCACATTCCAACCAGGCATGGATTTTCTCTGTATCACCAAAGGACAAGGAAGCCACAAGACAACATGGCTCAAACCCCAAATGAGCACATCCCCATCCAGCAAGGCTGGTCTGTCTCTGCTGGCCAAAGCTTCCCAGGAAAATGGAAATTCTGCCTTCCCCTTCTCATAAGGAGGAACAGCCTTGCCTCAGGCATTACTGTACCTGTTACACAATCTGCTGTAACTTATAGGCAGAAATTCATTCAGAAACAGAGCCAAATTAACTGTGTACACAGACAATGTGAAGTTTTGTTTCCAGTATCAGCTGCCCCAACGACATTATTTTCTTCTGTAACTGATACAGATGTTCTGAACTGCTCCACCTCCTTAAACATTCAAATACTTCACAATGAGTTGAATTGTGGATATGAGTCATCTAATTTCCTTTTCCAGTAAGGGTCACTATTGGAAAATTGGCATACCAAAGCTAAGTAATCACACTACCAAGGAAAATAATAACAAGTTCTGACCTGGTGAATCAGTGCTCTGCTTTTTCCACAGTTTCCCAAAATGAGAATACTCCGTACAGCAGAATGAAAAGGGGAAACTTACTAAATTAACCTTACTACTCACAATCCATCTTTGAAAGCAGAGTAAAGCAGGGGAAAACTCAGTAATACAATCAAAATGGGGGGGAAAATCCTGAAACAACTTCCAGTAAGCCTCTGCCACAACACATTCACTAGCAGGAGAAATTGGAGAAATCACTTATGGTCAAGGAAAAATGGTGACAAATGTATCAAGGTCAGCACTATGAAACCTGTGCCTACACCCTGACCTAAAAGCTCCACATGATCTTTAAGGACTGATCAACAAAATAAAAGGCCTGAATCTGAGTTAATCCTGACTTTTAAACTTTTCCTAGAATGCTTACACATTTGCTTCCAAATGCAGCATTCTGGGAAGCAAAATGCTTTCAAGTACTTAGAAGTGCCTTATTAACACTCTAATGGAGTGTAATTTACTGTCTTTGAAATGCCCAAAGATTACAGCATATGGACCATTTGCAATGTGAAATGCCCAAAATGCACACCTGCCTCAACAGCACTGGATACTCAATATAAATACTGAAAGACATTCATATCAAAGGATGATACTAAAAAGAAACCTATTGAAAGCTGGTGCTTTGCTTGCACTTCTGCAGAAGACCTCAGAATAAACACAGCAAAAAAGCAAAAGTACAGACAAACTAGAAATTGCTCAGCCAGGCATGAAACCAAAGAACAAACAAACATTCCACCAGTAGCCCTTCCCTAACCCTGTCCTTAGAATTAGGCTGTAATTGTGGCAGGATTTCCAAGCAGGGAGAAGAAACACCCAGACCACAGAGTCCAGTGGCAAGTCCACAGGTAGTCTGTAACTCACCCTCAGAAAGGGGAAGTTCTCTTAACAAGACAGGATTTGTGAGCAGTGTGCCAGGGTGGCAACTCGATCTAGAAATCAGCCTGATGCAAGAATGGGGAACTACACACTTTCTGACCCAAAAGGCCAGGAAATCATCACCTCCTTCTCAAGGGCAGTGTCAAAGGTAGTATTTGTAACTCCTAAGAGGGAACAGGGCGCTAAAGGAAGTTGCCCTTTTTGCTTCCTGTCATGTTACAAACTGTTCAAAGAGAACGCTCATCTTGTTGGAGATACAAAGAAATATTCTGACATCAGCCCTTCTCTCACCACAGCGAAGAATTAAACTAACGTAGTCATCAAGAAACAAGGCAAAACCTGCCTTTTAAAAGAAATTGGCACAGAGAGAGAGAGAGGGTGGAGAATACCTTGCAGGCAAGGAAGCAGTACAGCTCTCCAGAAGGAATTCAGCTTACTACTCTGTTAAAAAAGCACAAACCTCAACATACACAACACCAAATTCCAGGCACTGTCTGTAACCAAACAAAAACTACTTGGTGTCCCACTGGCTGCAGTCACAGACAGTGCCAGTCACTGCAATTCCCAATATTGAAACACCCTAAACAGGACAGCTCAGTCATAAGTCATTTTGGAAAGTTCTAACATGTGGGTTTTTTCCAGAGTCATATCCAGGTGGCTTTTAAAGGACAGTATTCCTATGAGTAATTACCACCTTTCTAATAAAATTGCCTAACAAGAAGTTTGATGTCAGATCGAGGCCTTTGCACAATACTAATTTTTCAAAGCTGCAATGTAATTGAAAAGGAAAAGAGAAGGAAGAAGAAATGTCTCTTCTTATGCTGAGACATCCACGGTTCTCTTTTAAAACATTCCACAGCTGAAAACAAAGATAATTAAAACAATTTAACTGCTCCTTCCTAAATGCTTTTTTCTGTCATTTACAAAGAGCAAGCCGACTTCAAGATAAGGCTGTACTGGAACTACACATCTGAAGACACAAGATCAGCCTAGCTGAGGAGGGGAATCCCTCCTGCAAAATATTTGTTACATTAAATCCTCCTCCTTGTCGCAGAGACCAAGGCTCCAAGACATTCACAGCACCATGCCCGTGCCTATCGCCTTTAGCGCGGCTCCTTCTTCCCCCGCAGGTGAAGATGTGCCCGGACCAACACAGCGCGGCCCGACCCCCGCCCGCCGCTCGCACGGCCCCGCTGGCAGCCGGTACCGAGCCCGCTCTGCCGGAGGTGCCGGGAAGGCCGGGCGGGCTCCCCGTGCAGCTGTCGGTCCCGTCCCGAGCCCCCCGAGCCCCGCCGCTTACCCCATGCTCGCCGCCGCCGCTGGCCCCGCGCCCGCCGCCCGGCCCCGCGCACGTCACGGCGGCCGCTCCGCCCCTTAAAGGGGAGCCCCGGCCCCGCCGCGATCCCCAGCGCACAAAGCTGCCCGGGGACATCCGAGAGCCAGAGCTCCGTCACTGCCCGGCATAGCAAGAACAGAGAGTGCTGGAGCGAGTCCAGGAGTGCTGATAAGGATGTGGAGCATACAGGCTGGGAGAGCTGGGGCTGCTCAGCCCGGAGAAGAGAAGCTCGTGTGGACACCTCCCGGCACTTTCTGAAGGAGCTACAGGGAACCGGAGAGGGGCTCTTTGTCAGGAACCGGAGTGACAGCACAGGGAGGAATGGGTACGGATTGAAAGAGGGGAGATTTAGGTTGGCTGTTAGGAAGGAAGTTTTTACTGTCAGGGTGGTGATGCACTAGAACAGGTTGCCAATGGAAGCTGTGGATGCCCCAATCCTGGCAGTGCTCAAGGCCAGGCTGGATGGGCCCTCAGTAAGTGGGACATGTGTCCTTGGCCATGGCAGGGAATAATACATCATCCTTAATGTCCATTCCAACCCTGTAACATTCTGTGATCAATCCCTGCCCTCCCTTCATCATCTGCACTGTGAAAAACTGACACATTTTTACAGCAGGACTCCTGTCATCACCAATATAGGCTTAAAGGAATTTACTTCTTCCCAAGATTGAAAGAGATGGAGAAATATTGATAGAAACTGCAAAAGATGCTCGAACACCAAGGAGGTACTTCAAACAAAAGCAGATTTTCTTCCAGAGCCACTGTGGATTTTCTAAGAGTTTAAAGCACAGAGAAATAAACTAAAACAGAGGATGTTCCACCTCATTGCGAGGAAGAACTTTTTAATGTTAAGAATGGCAGAGTCCTGGAAGAGGCCGCCCAGGGAGTGAGTGGGGTGTCCCCTCTGGAGACATTCAAGTCACACCTGGACACATTCCTGTGTCACCTGCTCCAGGTGCCCCTGCCTTGGCAGGAGGGTTGGACTGGATCTCCAGAGGTCCCTTCCAAGCCCAACTTTTCTGTGACTCTGTGCTAATGCTCCAACCTCCTGTTCAGCAGGGAGGATGCAGGTTATTATATACAGAGACTGTTATGGTCTAAATAGCAGCATCCAGCTTCTTCCTCACATCTCTCCTTCTTCCAACACACACACAGATTTTGAGGGCTCCACACATTTAAGACACAAACTAGTATTTCTATTTTTGTATTCTAGCAGCACAGAATCATGGAATTGTTTAGGCTGGAAAAGATCTTTAAGATCACTGAATCCAACTGTTAACTCAGCACCGCCAGGTCCACATGTCCTGATTACACAATGAAGAATCTCTACACAAATCCCATTTTAAAAGCTTGCATGGCTTACCCGGGGCCAAAGTCCAAATCAGGATCCTGAAATATGTCCGAGTCAGAGATCCTGTAACAAGAGAATTCATCTCAAAAAATGGAATTTATTACTTATTAAAGTGACCTAGCCAAGTTTCAAGTGCTTATGAAAGGTAATGTACACTAAAAGGAGAGATTCTTTTTGTTGCCTCTGGTGCTAAAAGTATGGATTTGACAATAGCCTGACAGCACTGTTCCAAGGCAGTTTTGCAACATCCAAAACCAAATAAACCATACATAGATTTGCAGCAGCTGTAGATAAATGCATTTACTGCATTAGCCCTAAGCAGCTAAAGTTAGTCAGTGATTAACAACAAAAATCAACAAATACAGGTTTTTACTAAGCTCACCTTCTCCATAACTAAGCTTAGTTTCACTCAGGTATGCTCTGACAGACATTCCTGCTCTGGGGAGGAGAGAGAAGCAAGCACAGCAATTTGTCCACCAAGTGGGGCCATATTCTCATCCTCTACATGGAGAAAACCAAACACCAATTTTAAGAGGGTTTCTGCTATCTTCAGTCAAACTGAACCAAAGTGTGACATTTCAGTGTCACAGTGTCCTCCAGCTGGCTAAGGGATCTCTGACAGTCTTTGCTCCCACACTACAACTCATCACCATGGCCTGCCAGGAGCAGCTCTGTACTTTGAACAAGTCCTCTTTGCCTGGGTAAGGGGAGTGATGCTCACCTTCCCTGCAGGGATGTGGCTTCTGTGCTCCACAGAGACAACATGGAGCTCAGGCCAGTGTTTCACCCCAAAAACCCTGCAGTGGTTAAGCCCTGCCTGAACCAGGGGCAAGATAAGCAAGTGGCTCAGCTCAGGTGTGAGCTCAACCAGCCTCGTTCATTCTCCACAGCAATTTTCCACATTACCCACTCTGTGACTACAGTAATAACTCCACAAGAGGTGGTTTTAGAGCGTGTCTTCTCTGCTCTTTGGGATGCCTTTCACTTGGTAACATTCTCCATCTGGAGCAGGTACCAGGGGTACCTTTCTGGTGTCCTTGAGCACCCTCAAGTGGGAAGTTAAGCTTTCAATAACAAGGACTTTCCACATGATATGGTAATACTGACACAACAATCATTTTAACAAGCATCAATGCATATTGTATCAGCCCTCCCACAAAGGTAAAAACAAAATCATATTAAAGCTTCATCCCAACCAGTTGGTGGATGCAGTTTACCTAATTTTCTCGGCGAGATTCTTTAAAGTTTCCAGAGGGTCTTCTGCATCAGGAGACCTTCAGAAAAATAAAACAAAGTATTTGAAAATTATCAAGAAGACACACATCAGTTTATGCATTAATTTATCCAGCTCACTGTTCCTTTTTACAGTTAAGTAACAAGCATTAATGTAGATCCTTGACAGAGATCTAGAAGAGAAAGGTCCTTTAGGAACATCTAACCATTATCACTATGTTTTTATCATTTGATGACAGAATTGCAATGTGTTGTATACATTCAATTTGCCTCAATAACTTTCATTAAGCTGATTGCACGGGAATTTTTGTTCATCAAATTTTAGGAATACATTAGAGCAGCAGTATCGATCCAGACAAGATCCACAGCAGAAATCAGGACAGGATTGTGCAAGTTGTACCTCACCAAAATAACAAAATATATGCCTGACAATCCTCACCCAGAACTGAGAAGAGTTACAACTGTTAGTAAGTAAAGGAATAATCATACAAAGTCTTCTCCTCATCCCGATCAGATCACCTAAATTAACATTTAAATATGCTGAAAGTACTTGGGTCAGGTCTTACCAACCAAGAATTTCCTTTTGTGTATAGCAGAGGCAAATACTCACTTCAGACACGCAGAGCAGCTCATCTTCATTAAGCACTTCTATCCAGATGTTCACACAGGCATAAGCACTAAACTGCACAAAAATATGAGATGCTGGTGTTACTTTCTTCACTGTATATGATAGAAGCTACCAAATTATTGTAAAGACTCAAAGAGCAACATGAGTTGCCAAAAAAGTTAAAAATACCAAAAGGCCCGAAAATCAGTTAGAATAAAATGTTACATTTTCCTAGAGATTTGACTTGATGGAAAAGATGCAACACCACTGCATTCATTGTGGGTTTGGATTTCCCTGTGACTTGGTTGTTTGTATCTGTTGCTTTGTTTACTTTGCAGAAAATCCTAATCCTGATAATCCACTGCAGAAAACAGAGATATCATACAACAGATTCTTAGAACTAAAATCAGTCCAGGTGCACTGCAAGCATCACCTGAATACCCAGTGGTAATCAGTGGGGATGTTCATGTACCAGAATGGCTCCCTTAGGGAACATCTCACACTTCTCAGAACTTCATTGGGCTGACACATTCCTTGAGAGACTGGCTGTTTTCTCTGCCCTTGCCCTCCCAAGCCTGAGTAAGTGCACCATAAGAATGGCAAATTAAAAGCTTTTAACTGCCACCAAAAAATACTTCCCAAAGGTTAAGCAAAGTCATTTCCCAAGAAGGGTATTACTTCATTTTTCAGTGACAAATTCTGCAGTCAGCTGGTTTCTATTCATCATTTTCCTTCCTATCAAGACATAGCCTGATATCTTGCTCCTAAACCACACTCCATCCAAAAAACTCAAAATCCTTCAGGTGTAGTTGCTCAGAGAAAGCAAACAAAAAGAGGCAAAGACAATATGTAAACTGACTTCAACATCTGAAAATTCAGTCTTCGCTCTCTGGCATCAAGAAATACCTGAATACTGTTGCCTGGAATACAACACAAAACTTTTCCAAACAGTGTTAAAATGATAATATAAATGCAAGTCTTTAATTGACAGCCTTAATGGTGCACAATATGGTGATATGCATACACAATACAGTATTTCTACAGTTTTTCTAAGGTTGATTAGTGTACCTACAAATATTACCCAGTAAGAAGAGCAGTTGGTTAGGTAATTGCCCCCTGGGTTTTGCCCCATTGGAGCCTCCCCTCAATCTTTTTTTGCCCTACACTTTACTGTGTCTACAATACAGGCTGCAAAACAGTGTCCTTGCTACACTAAAGTCAAGACTAAACAGAATTTCAAGAATGTATTAATAAGGGTTTGGTATACTATGAAGGAGGACAGGAAAAGTACTACAAGTTAGAACTTTGTATTAACAGCCTACAACGTTACAAATACATGAACAACATATAAAAGCTAAAAATATTTAGGCGTCACAGCCAACAGTAAAAAGAAAAACAAAAATCTTCTAAGGATTTCAATATGGAGGTTCATTAAACAGAAACAAAGAGGAACTTCTGTACCCATAGCACAGTACCTTTTACAGCTTTACATATGCTTACACGTGTTCTTCTGCAGACATCTAATGCCACCTGACTCCTCCCTCCTTCCTCTATCCCTAACAAGGAAATGGCAGGTAGCTAAACCAACTCCAAAATACTTTGTGAAATTACACAGCAGGGCAGCCAACAAAATTCCTCCCTTCATCTCACAATTGTACTGCTGCAGCACAATAAAAAAGCAAGGAAAACCAAAGGCCTAGGCCAGCTCTAGGGTGGCTGAGCTGAGCCAACCAGGCCCAGCACAGCAAAGAAGAATTTGGTGCCTCTGCTTTGTTCCTCTCTTCTTCCATGAGCTGTGGCATCCATGAGACTTCCTCAACTGACTGAATTCTCCAGCTTATCAACTGATGGCACTTTTCCCCCAGTCGGTCTTCTGATGGTTTGATTATTTGAATCACCTGAGAATGGGTACTGCCCTCATCCAACCCAACACAATCGGGTTACTGAGGGGTTCCTCCTATCCTGCAGGGCATCTCCGTGATGGTTTCATACCATCAGTACCACACAAAACCTTTAAACACTGACCAAGTTCCATCTCAAAAGCAGAGCTGCCAGACTCTTCCCTCCCAGTCCCCAGTCGCTGCAATAAACGCTAACTTACACCCCTATTTATTCAAGAGCAGCTTGCATACAGTTACAGCTATAGCACCTTGGTGGCGAGTCAGCTTAAAGAATCCTTCTTCTGGTGCTCAAACCTTGAAATACTTACAGATAAGTAAGTACTTACAGATAAAACTCTGACAATGTCAGCCACACTGATTTCAGCTCAGCCCCCGAACAAACTGTGATCCTGGATTACTCTGACCAAGTCAAATGTCTTCTTGCATATCACAGGCAACTTTTCTGCACAGGTTTGTGCAGAATTTGATCTTGATCTCTCTGATCAAGTGATACCACTTATATATAAAATACAAAGAGGGCTTCTCCTTCTCTGAGACCTCACCAGCTAAGTTCTGTGGTCACATCCGCTCTTCTAACGACAAAGTTGGGGGAAGACCACACGGCCCATCCTCTAAGCACAATAACAAATTAGCAACAGATAGGGCTGCTGCAAAAAAACCCGATAATCAATAATAGCATTTGATGTATGAACACAATCATCAAACAAGTTTACGTAAGCATGCTTTTTATATGATATCATCACTGAGCACTTCAGTGTTTATACTATCTTCCAGTAAATGGGAAGAATTTACTGTATCGGGGGTGAAAAGGTGAAGGTTTTTGATTGGATGCTTCAAGAATAACCCGCAGCCACTTCACTACATCATTACCTCACCTTAGTTACCAGCAGCTCCCATCACCAGGCCACTGCTGGCCGACACCACGGCTCAAAACAAACCCACCGAACTTCAGCAGAACTTTTCCCTCAGCAGAACTTTTCCTTCGACGAACCCAAATGCGCGCCAGAACAGCTGAGCGCGTGTGGGCGCCTCCCGCCGCCGGGACCACGTGCCCCCAACACCGCGGCTCCTCAGCCCCCAAAACACGATTCCACGGCCTCCCAAAACACGGTTCCACAGCCCCCAAAACCACAGTTCCTCGGCCCCCAAAACACAGTTCCACAGTTCCCAAAACCATGGTTCCTCAGCCCCCAAAATCACGGTTCCTCAGCTCCCAAGACCACGCGTTCCTCAGTCCCCGCCCCGGCACGGGCGGCAGAGCTGAGGGGGCCGAGCTCGCAGCCTGGGGCTCCCCACGCCGGGAGTTTCGGCCGAGCCTCGCCGGGGGATGTGATCACCGCTTCCGAAAGCAAGGCCGGAGCCCCCAAACCCCCCACCCCTGAGCACCGGGGTGACCCCGCTCGCCGCTCCCGCACCATCCCGCGCTCACCGGCGGCCACCAGCAGCACCAGGAGGAGGAGGAGGCAGAGGCCGAGCACGCCCCGACACAGCGGCAGGAGGGCGGCCGCGCCCCGGGGGCTGCAGGGAGGGGGCGGCCCGCGGGAAGCGGCGGCGGCAGCGGGCGGGACGGGGCGGGGCGGGGCGGCCCGGCACGGGAGAACGCTGAGGCGGCCCCGGAGCCCCGATCTCAGTTCCCCACACCTCGATCTCAGTTCCCCGTTCCCTGTTCCCCGGCTGCGGCTCCCGTTCCCCAGCGCGGTTGCTGCAGTACCAGCTGAAGGCTTCTTTCTCCCTGAGGGGACACCTCACCGCAGTATCACAGAATCATTCAGGGTGGAAAAGACCTCTGAAGATCATCGAGTCCTGCCTGTGACTGATCATCACCATGTCAACCAGACTGTCAAAAATAGGTTAGAAACTGTTGTGAAATAGTTCATAATTGCTAAGCATATACTGTTAAAAAGTTTGGTGGTTATAAGGTAAAAGCGGTTAGAGGGTAGTTATAAGAAATACGGTACTCATTGTACCGTATTACACCTAAGTAAAGTGCACCGCCCTCCAAGCCAGCCTGGACAGAGCTGTAATGGCCCAATCGAGCGCCTTAAACCTTCATGCAAATGAAGAATCCCAACAGAAACCAATTCAAAGGAACAAAAAACAGTATAAAAAGGGGGCATCCGAGCCAGTGGGATCGTGTGCCACTCCACCTGGAACATCGGGAACATCTCTGCTCAAGAAAAGAAGATCCAGCACCAGCTCTGCAGCATCCTCACTCATCAGGAACGCTCCTGCTCAACCCCTAAGCTTTACGCCTTATAATAAAAGCTGAAATCACTTTAGCTGCGGGAGTGTGTTCCCAGTTTTTAACAAGACCATGGCACCAAGTGCCACATCCAAGCTTGCCAAGGTGCTTGTTCCCTGAATGAATCACTTCTGTCAGCCTCTGCCTAATGGAGTTATGTCATGCCCCAGCCTTGGAAGGCCAAGCAAAACATAAAAAGGCTGGTGAGAAAATCCCAAGCACCGGAGTTTGGCTTGGAAGGTGGTTGGTAAAAGAGGATCTCTGGGAACACTCTAAAGCCAGGAGCTGAAGGAAGCAGCCACTCCCAGCAGGATCCCACACCTACTATTGTAGGACTTCTGGGAAGTCCAGGTTGCTATCCTGATCCTGAATTGCATTTCAGACCTGAATTCTTCAAGGCTGAATTTCACATTCCTTTTCCCTATTCTGGTTGTACCTGAGCCATTGTCTGGTTATTGTCCAGGCAGGTTCCCTAGTGGACTCTGATGCTGGCTGAGGAAACATTCCAGCTGCCTGGGCACTCCATAGCCAGGTCTGCCTTCCCCTAGGGACTGCTCATGCCTCTGGATCAAAACCTGTGCTACAGCACTGTTGCTAAAGAACACCAGAACTGATGAAGCAGTACCCTTCTCAGTAAGCTTCTGAGGGTAAATGGCCTCTGCTCTATACTTCCCTCTGGTTGCCTTTTTTCCTTCACAAGACATCCTCACAGGCTTCCAGAAGGTGTCTCAAGGAGAGGTGTCAGTGTCCCCAACCCTACCTGCTTCCTAGCATATTGCAGAATCTCTCACTCACAGGAGAGGAAGCTCAGGTGTGTTAGGAGATGACTTGGGAGCACTGGCAGAGGTAAATTGTCAGCAATCCAGAAGCTGGAGCAGGCCTCTTCCACACAGAATCCCTTGTTCATTTCAGGTAAATTCTTCAGTCTGTTTGGATCCAGTCTTGACCATGTCTTAGATAACAGGTGCAGTGTACGCCAGAGTCCTGGGTAAGTCCAGACTTGTGACTAGGAGGAAGATCTGCCAAGTTCAAGAGCTTTCCCGAGGTGGTTTCTAGGAGAAGGCTATTTCTTGAGCTCCACCAATGCTATAACCAAATGCATGTGTGAATTGTGGATTGTTTTCCTTACCAGACCTGAAGGTTGTATGTGAGTTCAAGAACTGTATCAAGTAGATTGTTGTCATATTTGCACACAAGTAAACATTGACAGAAGTGGAGAAATTCTGTTGCTTTCCAGAAGTGAATTGTTCAGCAAGTCTACATCTCCAATGTGCCCCAGGGTCTGGTGTTAAGATGGAAAAAGTGACTGAATTGTGTGGTGTTGTGATTTGCCCATACCTTAGGAGAGTGAAAGATTGCAAAGTTATTGTTTCTCAGGCAGAAACCTTTACATTTCGATGAGTCTCCTGTGAGAGGCCTGGGTTTAAAAGCAAGGAGAAGCCACACAAGGTCAAACTTCAGGACACAGAGCATTTTGTTCCCAGTGGTCCTGTGGCCAGATACTTTTGTCAGGCCTGAGAGAGCCTCCAGTGCACTTTATTGTGCTGGTGAAGTGGGGTCAGGGCCAGAACTGGGGCACTGTGCATGGCAGGTCCTGCAGTGGCATCTGGGCTGCCTGTGGGGATTCTGGGCCAACGCTGCAGGCTGGAGCAGCCTTGGATCCACACGGGTCCAGGGGTGCTGGAGTAAAGTCTGGCATTTTCTGGATCTGGGGAGACACAAGAGGACCCTGATGGTAGCTGGCTGGTGGTGCTGAGGCTGCTGGAGCTGGGTACCAGCAAGCTGTGGGGGCCCTGGCACAATTTGCCCAGAGAAGCTGTGACTGCTCCATCCATGGAAGTGTTCAAGGCCAGACTGGATGGGGTTTGGAGCAGCCTGGTCTCATGGGAGGCGTCCTTGCCCATGGCAGGGAGATGGAATTAGATTATTTTTCAGGTTCCTTACAGCTCAAATCATTTTGTGAACCTATGTTTCTATCTTGAAAGTGTCAGACGCTCCAGTCCAGATGCTCCCTGGGCCCTTGTGGATCCAAGACCGCTCCCATTTGCAATGCTGGACCCAGAATCCCCACAGCCAGCCTGGACACCGCCACAGGACCTGCTGTGGACCGTCCCCTAGTACACTGATCCCACTCCACAGGCACAATAAAGCGCACTGAGAGGCCCCACGCTCATGTGTCGGCTCCCTCCTCCTGCTCTCTCTCCGAGGGCAGGTGCGGCTTTGGCCCACAGGGTCGTTGTGTCCCTGGGTGTGGGCAGCGCCGGCCCGGGCCTCCCTCGTGCGGGCTGGCCTTGGCCGCTTGCCCACCTCCGTGCCGAGAGCTTCGCGTCTCGGCGGCCCCGACCCTGCTCGGTTTCCTCCGGAGAAGTTCACACAAGCACCGGGGGGTCTCTGCCGCCGCTCCTTCCCCGGAGCAGCGCACCGCGGCCCGGCCCTGCCCGAGCGCGGAGAGAGTCCCGCCCGTCTCCCGGCAACGCGTCCCGCCCGCCCGCCATGGCCCTCGCGGGTCGCCGTAGCGGCGGCGGCGGCGGCGTGGCCGGGCCGGCGGTGAGTGCGGCGGCTGCGGGGCCCGGTGCCGGCGGCGCGGGGGCTCCCCCGGGGCCGCGGGGGGCTCGGGCCACGGCCGGCTCTGGGAGTGGCGTCCGGCTGTGCGGGAGGCGCTCGATCGGGGGGTGGCCGCCGCGCCTCACGGCTCGTAGGCAGGTGTAGGGGGTTCTCGGCTTTGGGGTGTTCGTGGGCACGGAGAGCCCTTCCGGGTTTGGGGGTGTCTGTGGCTGCCGCCAGTGCCGCCCGCTCTAGGGGCTGGCTCTGGGTTACGGGGCGCCGCTGGCTGCGGGGGGGAGTCCGGTTCTGGGGCAGGCTGCTGAGTGTGAGCACGGCAGTGCTGCCCGGTGCTTGTGGGCTGGGGTGCCCGCAGGTTGGGGTGCCACGGGGACCCACGGCTGGGATGAGGGCAGGGCAGTTCTGTGATCCGCGCCGGGCTCTGCTGTTTCCCTTTGCCTGCTGCGAGTCCCAGGGCTCGGCCGGCAGCTGCCACACAAAGTTGTGTTGGCCGGCCTGGCTTCTCGGCCTCCTCGCCTGCCGCCAGTCGCCTCCACTTCGGCTCTGGCTGCTCCTGTGCTGTGTGTTCTGCCCTGCTGCTGGAAGCTGCTTGCTCTTGCCCAGAGAAGGGAGTTCAGCCCGGAGCCAGGCTCAGAGCAGGGCGTCTTTGCTTCTGTGAATCGCACATGGGGCAGATGTGTGTGTGTCCCCCTGCTCTGCCCTTTCCCAGACCTGTTGAAAGCAACATCTGCTCCAGCTGTGCAAACACCCTGGCATTGTAGCAGTGCCAGCACTGCATCCCATGTGGTGCCAGTGTGGAGGGGCTGAGTGCTCTGCCTTGGGCATTCAGGCTTACCAGAGTGGCTGGCTTTAGGAGAGCCATGGGCACTCCTGACTGCCCTCGGGTGTTTTGAACTTGTTCTGACAGAGGTGAAGTCACGTCATGTGTCGAGTACTTTTAGCATAGTACACATTGTGCTGTCTGCTCTGCTTTGGTAGTAAACTATGAGTTTCTCATTATTGTTTTATCTCTTGTTTTGAGTTCCTGACGCATCATTCAGGGCCTTTGATCCAGGCTGCTTTTTGCTTTGTTCCCGCTATTTTGCTCAGCAGTGCTGCAGGAGGGAGGCCAGGCACTGTTGCTCCACTGCTGAGTGCTGGGGTGGTCCTGAGGAAACGGGTTTTAGGCAACCCTTTCCCAAGTCTAGCTGAAGCTCATGTGGTATTTATGTCACTTGGCACTCCTTTTCTGGAGTCACTAACTTTTCTTGGGTTCACCTTAGTTTCTGCTCTGCATGAGATTGCCAACAAGCATTTCATTCCTGCAGCCTTTGCTCCTGTTGCATCTTCCTGTTGCTCTGTGTGTCATAAAGTGCTTTGACAGATGGGTGTCCAGGGAGAGTCTTCCAGTGAGGGTTGGCTATTGGGGCAGTTGGAAGCAGGAGAGGGGTATAGCTGAACATTTGGAAGCTGGATGGAACTAGCCACTTGAATGTATTCTTTTTGTCCTGGCACATGTCAGCTCTGATAGCATTCTAGTGATTCTAGAAGGTTCCTGAATCTGTAGTCTCATGGTAGATTTTCACACTATTGTATATTACCTGTGTCTGCTTTTGTCCCTGTGTCTCTGGGCCTTTCACTTTGTAATCAGTGATATTCTATTGTAGCCCAGTCCGTCTGCATTTGTCTCATTCCTTTTTCCTCTCTCTTTGTTTTGAGTAGTGGAATAATCTAAACACCTGCTAAACAGAAGATTAACCAGGCTCATGTTGCTATCCTAAAGAATACAGAGCAGGAGGGAAAGGCAGAAGTGTTTGTCAGCACACGAGCAGCAGTGCGGTTCCCACTCTCAGTGGTGTTTGGCAGTGGGGTGGCTGTGGCCCTGTGCTGGCCCTGTGCTTCTGGCCCAGGCTTGGTGTGAAGGTTGCCTGTGTTTCTGGCTTGGTTGTGCCTGTGCCTTTGTTTGGAGTGGGGTTTGTGTGGCTGTCTGGAGTGTGGCTTCATGGTTCACCTGCTTTGGGAAGGTTTTGAGCTGTTGGACAGCAGTGGGACCGAGAGCAGGGTCGGCAGGTAGTTGGTTTGGGGCTCTTGTGTAATGTCATTGGGACATGCAAGGACTGTGGCTATTTTTTGCCTTATCCCTGTTGCTTAATTCAGATAAACCAGCCTCCAAGAAAGGGAGAAGTCTAAAGGCAGCATCCTCCCCAGAAGGGTTTGTTCTAGGCGTCTGCCCATCTTATGTCTGCTCTGGAAGCGGTGCCTGTGAAGAATGACGTCGAGAGGTGCTGGGACTGCTTTCTCAAGAAAGAATTACAGGCTGAGCACTGAGCCAGAGAAGTCCAAGGTCACAGGTAGGGTCCTGTACATGCCCTGTGGGAACAGGAGCACTGTGGATCCAGGAGCATCCCTTGCCTTCATGCAGTTACCTTGGTAGTGTGAGGTGTAGGGGTCTGAAACTGAGTAAATCCTCAAAGTGAGATGAGATTTTGGATGGGACATTCCTGCACTACTAATGACTCCAGAAACTCAGGTCACAGAGCCTTTTCTTCAGCACACAGCCCTGCCTCATAAGGCTGGAGAATGTTTTGTTGCCTGCCTGCCATCTGATTTAGGGAGTTCCCCTTCCAGGATGTCAAATTCTCAAAGGAATCCTTTTCTGGGAAATTCTGCTACCTGCCAGGCAGTCTGGTTTTTATCTTGGCGTCACCAATCCAGCACAAGTGTGCTTATGAGACCACAAGCCTGGCATTTGAGGGCACTGTTGCGCTCAGAAACAAGGAATGCTGCATCAGTGTGACACTAAGGGTTGTTTAGTGAAGGTGAGGCACACATCATTAAAGAGGGTTCTGGGTTACATGAGGTGAGCTGCTCCTGCAGCCTTTCCATCTCAGCATCTTTTATGTGGTTAAGAGACATCCTGGGTATGAATAGGACACCAGGAATTGCAGTGGTGTTAGGTTTTAGTTTTTTTTTTAATGAAATTGGATCCCTGCTTTCAGCTTTTGGAGTTACTTTAGCACAGCAGGAAGTAGCACAGCAGGATTCCTGAGGATGCACTTCCACCTGTGTGGAGCAATTTATAGGCTCCCAGTTGCTATGGCAGAGCAGCTCAAATTGGAAAGAGTCTTTTTTGGGGAGATGCACCCAATAATGCTGGACTCTGGCTCTGCTAGTGAGGACAGTAAGGTGATGAATGACTGCTTGAAGCTGCATTTTCCATTGTGTTGATCAGCAAACCTGAGCATAATTTACACATAGTTACCAGTTTCTTGCTTGTACATGAAATTCACGTTTGAGTTTTCCCCAGACTCTGTAAGCTCATTTCCTTTCTGTTTCTCCCAAGGGATTGTGAACAGCAGGCTGCTGAATGATTACCTGCACCGAGTCTTTACCAGTGCTGATGGGAACCAGCCTGCAGCTGCTTACAGGTATCAGACTTCTCACTGCCCAGGTGGCCAGTGATGCCACCTCCAGATAAACAGCACTGTGTGAAAGGAAAGATCTTCTAGTGCCACACAGTGATCTTTGTTAAAAACACAGCAGCTCCATGTTGCAGAAACAACTCTGAGTCTGCTCTTTTAATGGCTTTTTCAAACTGCAGGGCTTGTGAGGAAGGATTCTTTTTTTCATGAAAAATCCCATATGTCACCACACTAAGCAGTATTTTTGAAATAAGTAGGCATTCACCTGATTGTTCCTGTTCCCCCTTTGCTTGTAAGGAAGTGCAAAATGCACATGTGTCAGGTGCAGGAATTAAAAATAGTGCCTGTAACCTAAAGGCAAGACTGTTACTGACCCATGCAATTCCATACATTTTCCAGGCTGTGGAACTGCTGGTACTTTAATTAGGAGTCACTACAGGAAGAGAAACACAAAATTCTTGTTTAGTGACTGCTTTTTTCCTATTTATTTTCAGTTCTCCTTCACCTTTTAATCCCAGAAACCTGTAGTGTTGGATTAAAAGAATTCCTCTTGCATCTCTTTTGCCAGAGGCAAGTCAGGCAGGTTCAGGGCAGGTAGGAGTGTGGCAGAGTGAGGCAGGCCTGTGCTCCTGCTGGCTGGCAGTGCTGCAGCATGGCTGGGGTCACATTCCAAGGCTATACTTAGGACTGCCAGCTCCAACGTGAGCTCAGAGCTGCTATAAATAGTTCTTGGCCCTCTGGCTCTTGGTGAGCCGGGGTGATGGTGCGGGGGAGGCAAAGTGGGTCATGTTACTTTACCACGAGCTCTCCTGCCAGAAAGCCTTGGAACACTCCATCTGCCTGAGCATTTTGGTTTTCAATATTTCTGATTTCTTTGTCTGGTGATTAATGACTTGAATGCACAGAACTGATAGCTTGTTGGACTGGCTTCTCTTTTTTCCTGCCTTCCACCCTTCTTCCCTGGACGTGGCTACTTGGTAGAAAGCCCAGTAGCAGTCAAAGAGGTCTTGGAAATAACATTTGCCATAAGAGAGCAACTTTTATGGTATGACATCTTGCCTTCAGAGGCCTGAATTCTTTATAGAGGAGCTCACTGCAGACATCTCTCTGCCTGCCTCGTGCTCTTCCACTCTCCTTCCACAACTCCTCCTTCATGCCAGTGCTGATTAAGCAGCTTTGCTGAAGCCACCCTTGCCAACCAAAGCTGATTCTTTGATTTCACTTCTGTGCATCTTCACACCCATCAGGCTTTCATAAGGCTCTCACCATTAGGGTGAGAGGGAAATCCCTAGTCCTGGAGAAGTGAAAAGTTGTTTCCCAGATGGCTTTGGAAGTGAGAAGCAGGGATAGGAGCAACTAGTGGTTCTCATAGTAAAAGGAGACTCTTGTGCAAGGATCAGCTAAGTGAACTATCCTTGGAAGGAGAGAACCAAGGAAAGGCAGTAAGTTCTCTGGAACAGTGGCCCAAAGGGGATGCATGAGAGAATTTTCAGTATAAAAACAAAATGGTTTTAGCTGTTTTCACAGAGAGAGGATGCTGGACTAGCCTGACCTTTGTCTGAACTGCTACAGCTGCTGCTGTGGTCCTCTCTCTTCTTTTGTATTGCAAAATACTTTGGGGAAAAAACGAATCCTGACTTAGGCCACGTTTGTATGATGCTGACTGCAGCAAAGTCGTGTCCATAGTTATTGGTAGCACAGCTGGTTTCTTGCTGCCTTGTACCACAGTTTTCCTACTGCCACAATACACTCCTGAGCAGACTGAAGACTGTAAGATTCTTTGTTAACTACTTGGCTTGTTTATGCTGTTTTTGGTCCTTCCTTCATTCATTGTCCCAACACAATGGACAACAAATTCTTTAGATTCATGACATGGAACAGATCAATGACAGAACTTCCTGGCTCATGTCTCAGCATAGGACACTGGTCTGGGCTGCAACTCTTGAAATATTGAAGACAAAGTGTTTTGTAAGAGCTGCTGTGTGTTTATTCCCTAGGAAGCACCTGACGTTCCAGAACCTGCAGGAGCACCTTGAGAGATTGCTGGCAGAGGAGAATGGCTCTGAAGACAGCAGAGGTAGGAGATACTGCCTGTCCAATTTGTGCTTCTTGCCTTTGCTGCTTCATTGGGAAGGACAAGTTGTATCATGATAGGCATTTCTGAGTGAGTGCTGTTGTACCTCCCTGTGCTCTTAATTTATTGTGCTTTTAAATCCTGCCTGTGAGGGGCTCATCAGCCAGCCTTGCAGCAGGTTTGTTGGCAGATGGAGGCAGATTTCCAGGCTAAAATGTCTGGAAAAGCAATTTTGGGGGTATTTTACTGATAATGATATGCAGAGCCATTGCTTTGACCAGGAGTGTGCAGTGCTATGATCAGTGAGAGGTGCAGAGGCTTGTTGACTGCATGCTGGTCTCCACTGCAGGTATTCACTTTGGGCCTCAGGCTGTACCTGTGTTCTTA